CACGCTTACCATCACTGCACCCTACCTATTGTCGGTGTTTTAGCACTCTTTGAGGTCATTCCTTGCATTTTACTTCTTTGGTATTTGGTCTTGATCCTCCTAGCCCAGCTTTAAAGCAGTCTTCTCTTCTTCTAACTTGCTTCCCTCCAACGTGCTTCCTCTAACTTCTCTTCCTCTTAGCCTGCTCATTAAATTACATGATCATAATATCATGAAAAAGGTTTAAGAACTGCATATTCCATTTCAGATATTCAGAATTTAACCAAAGGCTCCATCTATTAATCTTTTAGTTCCAGTATCAAAAAGAAAATTTCTGGAGACAAATATTTTTTTCTCCAGATTCATAAGTACTTCTGTGTCTCACTGGCAGTGATACGGCAGAGTTACACAGGCCTGCTTGTGCTCTTCGTTTTTAGGAGGTATGGTTGTATATGGGCAAGGTATTGTGAGTCTGCCTATTTTTTTTACTCTTTGAGATCTTTCAGTTTAAAATTATGTCAAAGCTGCTTGTCTGAGACATGGATGGATGTAGCTGTTAGCTACATGAACATTTAAGCAAGGATAAATACACTGGGGTGCCTCTAGACTAGGAATGCACAAGAGAGCACTTAACCTTAACATGACTCAGCTTTCACCATATCAACATCATGCAAATTGTTCTGGTACCACTTGATTCCCAGTTAGTTTTACTTTCTCTACATTTATGACATCCTCTTCAGAAGAAGACCTGAGAGTGCTGGGAACATCTGGTGAAATCCCCATTATGGGCCAATGCATAGGCACACAGATGCATACTCTGCTTTCTGCTTAAGCATTATAAAAAAAAAACAAAACAGAGAGAAACTAAGACTGTAATATGGTGTACATTGTTAACGTGCTATTATATGATTCCTCTGTTGCATTGTTGCATTGCGTCACCACTGCTGTGTCTATTAAAACAACAAAAGACTTTGACAAAGCTTATAGACTTTTAATGAGGATGCACCCCTACTGTTGCCATGAAAGTGATGTCTGTGCTAGTCAGGGGAAGTCTCTCCCCCTGCTTTTTAAGGCAAAAAAAAATACAAGTCAAGTCCTAAGCTTCACAGCCTCCTTAGCATCCTGCTACATCCCATTCCTTCTGAGCATGTTGTCCGTGTTGTCATGCATATTTCTATAGAAGCAGCAGGACAGCTGTCCAGTTCTTTTATTCATGGTACAACAGTCTGAAGCAAGTACAGTTGTCTGCTCAATGGCTCAGAGTTCCTGTTATCCTCACAAGGATGACCTGCTGTCACTCAACGTATTCAATAGCACTTCATCAAGCACTCTACCATCTTTTGTGCTGCAGTTAGAGTCAAAACAGTCTTCCTTACTGTCCTCCACTCTTCAAAAGCGTATGAACCCTCCTTCAGGGGAGTGCTCTCACCACATGAGGGACACACAGTTTCACCATTTAGCCAAGGTGAATGCCCATAATTCTTGGAGCTCCTAAGAAGGCAGTCTGTGTTTTCGAATGTTCTGGATGAGCCCTACAGGCTTGAACTTTATCATTTTTAAACCAAATATTTCCATTCTGTCTCTTCCACCATACCTGTTCAAATGCAGGTATTCTTGAGAAAACTCAGACAACATTAGCAAAGGTATATCATTCCATACTCTCCCTGCCTTCAATAGCATAATCTGGAATACAGTTCTCTGCTAGGAAGAATATTCAGGGAGACATATAATTCAAAGTTTCTTCCCTGTCAGTGAATATGAACTATATGTTTGGTACTCAGACCTGCTAGGCTGGCTTGTTGAGGGGCTTCGGAAAAATAGTATTGCTGAAAAATAATACTGCTGTGTCAACAAATAAGTTCTCCCTAACTTTTCAAGGAGGAAAATGCCTCTTGAGATTAGTGCAGTCATCAATGATCTATCTGGCAGGCACTCTGAGCAGTCAAAAAAACCAACCTCAGTTCTTCAAACTGCTAGACCATGACTGGAAGATCTAGACAGCTGTCCTAATACCAGTATTTTAACACTGTTCCTCTTCGTATCACTCTCTAACAAGAAATGTCAGGATTTATGTCCCAGATACCTGGATTAATCTCTGGAAAGTGAATGATTTTTCTGGTTGGAGACCTTTTTCCTATTTCTTCTGTTCTTTAAAGCATTTTCTTTCCATGTTGAGGACAGAGTTCAGGCAATACCATTGGCCTTCGAAACATATTAATTGTTGCTGTTCTATTTACAAAAAAATCTCACACTGAGCATCAGAGTGTAAAGAATGCTTTTGGGCTACAGAAGGAAACAACATTTCCTTTAGAGCCTTTGCCAAAAGTGACCTTCCCCTGGGATGTCCCAAAAAATTCCCATTTGAAGACCAGCCAGATGGTGCCCCATTCACTCTTTTATTAAGCTTTATAGACTTACTGAGGTATCTGGGAACAATGCTATTTCCAGAAGAGATGTCTGTGAGAAGATTTTCTACTAGATATGTTTTCATGTGTACTATGCATGGAGAACCAATGAAAGGAGGAAGAAGGGATGCTTGTTTGCAACTTTTCCTGTAAATGTATATATTTTAGGCAATCCATCCCTAATACTTCCTCCTACATCTTTTCCTTCTGTAGGTTCTTAGACTGAGAGAAACTGAAATAACTGGCTCTTACACCCCTAATTTAAGCATATGTGCAGCACATGGAGAGAGAAGGAAAGGATGTCTTTAAAGATAATGCCAAAGTTAAAATAAATAAATAAATATACTAACAATGCTAACTGTAATGACATAATAGTTTCCACAGTGTTAACACAGGTGAAGGCAATGGATTTGGAAGAATTGCTACAGTTCTGTTTTTATCAAACTGTTCAATTGTTACAGATCCCATTTCCATGGAAGCCATGAGGAATTCTGCTCTTAGTATCAGCATTGGTAGTGCTAGTCTTGCAGGGCTTATTGTGGACTTGGGTTCTGCTGCTGTTTATTAGGAATAGGCATACTTGGCCTGTGCATGAAGATAATCACCTGTGTGAATGCTTGCAGATAGACTATCAGATTATGATCCTGCAAATATTCATGCTTTAACTCCACTTCAAACACAACAGTGTTCATACTTAATATGTTTTCTGTAGTTTCAAAGCCTCCTGGTGAAAGAGGCCATCATCTACACTGTGCTTTGAATTAAGGCCTGTACTTTCTTCATGGGTTCATACTATGATGTGCAGGTTACTTAGACAAAGTTAATCTTTCTAAGGGGAAATAAAAACAAAGTTACTTTCTCACACTTTGAATTCACTTATCTGTGTGTTGCTGCATATTTCATTTTGGAAGAAATTGTGATCTATTAAACATGCAAAGCCTGAAAGAGTAATTTTGCTGCTCCTGAGAGAGTATCTTAGGGTAATGATATTCCTAATAAATGGCTAATATATTTTTCATAATTTTTATGTCAACCAAATCTTGAACAATGAGTTTGAAATTACAAATGTGGGTAGACAATATTATCATATTCAAGAAAATGTGCCTGCTCAACTGTGCAAAAGGATACATGCTGCCTTTAGCAAACCATTTCTGAAGCTTTTCAGTTAAAGCGGTGAAATGGTAATGATCCCTGTCAATTGATGAAATAACTTATTTCATCTACAGATAGGATTTTTTTGGTGATTTTGATTAAAATAATGTCTCCAAACAAGCATGCTACCTTTTCTTTTACTTTTTTACTGTTCAATTCTTTCTGAGCTATTGATATTCTGGACTTCCAATCAGAGATATTTTCTTTGGGAATAGGACATATACCCCTTTCTACCATTTCTTGCTTCTACAGCAGTAAACGAATACAGTGTTTATCATTACATTCTCTATGCATTAATTACGTAAATTACTCCCATCAGAGAACGAAATGTCAGCTTTTTTTCTTATTCTCACTGGTTTACATGCAATGAGGTGTCATAGGAATGGTTATCTAGGTTTTATGATCTAATGTACTTGTTGTCGAGTGCCATTTTGCTCTTATTGCCTACTGCTCACAAACAGCTTTCTTAATTTCATCCTGCCTAGTTTTTGAGAAATACCATCAAGGTATGAAGAGACTAACAATAAGAAGGAAATTAGCTAGTGGAAACTGCATCAGAAAAATTATTATTCTGTTATGACTAAAAGCAGTAGCATCAAATGTGAAAATAGACTTTCAAATTAATTAGCATTTTAAGGGAAATGGGTTTGGGATAGTTATCAGACTGTTTTTAGACAGTTATGTTTACAAGCGCATCTCTGCTTTTTATTAATGCCTTACTAGAGAAAAATGACAAATGAGTACATATTTTTCAGTTTTAAACCTGTTCTTTGTTCATACTTGACAAATAAAGGCTTCAGAAAGAAAAACACACCCAAAGGTATTGCCCTCACAGGTCCAGTGAAAGGTGCCTATTCTTCCCAAAGGCAAAGAGCTTTTTTTTGATCCTATATATGTGGGAATAAGCATAATCTTCTTCATCTCTCATGCTGTGACCCTGCTAATACCATTTAGATGAGGGACCTTTGAGTAGACTGTGCCAACAGCCTGCATACATCTGCTAGGACACCTCTTTGCAAGCCAGTGAGGTTGTGTCCAGCCTAGTGCAGCTACAGATGGATGTAAAGAGACCAGATCTGATATACTCTTCATTGCTGTTCATAACTCAAGCACTATTTCTCATACCTTTTCTTCTTTTCCCTCTAAGCTATCTAGTGCTTTCTAAAGTGGCTGGTGTAAGTGATCAGGGTCACAGATGCAGATCAACTATTCGGGACCTCAAAGTTTTCAAATCATCTGAACACCAGAAGTACTAAATCTTTCATTATATCCCATTTCCCCTTGAGCATTCCAACTCTGGAAAAAACAAATAAACAAATCATTCTTTATTGTCTTTTTCCTGCAAGGATGGTAATAACTGCAAAGAGAAAAATAACAAAACTTGAGAAGGCTACACTGTTGTTGTGACAAATGAGTAATCTTTGCTCATTTGCATATACTTACTTTAATATTTTTCACATACAGATACTTCATCGATTGGAAGAATGATGTGGACAGCTACTTTACAATAGATGCTACTGAAGGAACCATTGCTACCAATGAATTACTGGACAGAGAAAACACAGCACAGTATAATTTCTCTATAATTGCAAGTAAAGTTAGTAAGTATGACACAAACTGAATTGATATGCTAATGTGGTATTTTTTTTTTCAGAATGTAGTGCTCAGGCATAGATATAATGTGAAGAGTGCATGTATTTCCGGGAGTTTATTTAAGAAGATTCAATAAATATCATTTTGCCAGACTCCTTGTGAGGCTAAGTGTCTTGTATAGTGAGGTTTTTCTAGTAGACCTCATGTAGGCGCAGTTGCCTCAGAAGCTGAAAACCATTTTGTCAGCATGAAGCTCATGAGGAGCTGTATGGAGGCCTATGGAGGATTTCTGATTTTGTAATTCACTCCATTTGAAATTAGGTTATTCAAGAAACAAGTCTGTCAATGTGCTTTTTGAAGGCAGAAAAATTCTGAGTTATTTGATTCTCAAATAAAAAGTACACTAAAATTGAGTCAAGATTTAATGCCCTAAATTAATTCATCTGTGTGCTGCATCTCTGTTCGTCTGTTCATCACTCTGCTCAAAATATTATGCCTAACTCCTTCTTTTCTTTTCTTATGTGATTTGTGGTGGAATATTTTCATTTCTTATTTTTGTGTCTTCTACATAGCCCTTTTCTTTATATATAAGAAGTCCCTTCTTTCACTATATTATTTAGCTCCAACTTGCCTCATTGCCATCCTTCTGTGTAGTATTCCTCGTTCATGATCCTGTCAAACTGAAATCCTCATAGATATTTTCCACCCTTTGACTGCAAGTCTTTTGGTGACTTGGTGGTTGTGTAAAGGCCACAGAAGTCTTTCTGTTGACATCAACAGGCTGTAGAAGAGGATCCAGCTGTATTTCTTACTCATTGTCTGTTGTTTATGTGTCCAAAAATGCAAGTTTCTATAGCAAAGAACACGTTTTCCTCAATGCATTACTTGGCTGAGTCTTCAAAAAGTAATACATGTTACTAACAGTAAGAGGGAGATTTTGAGAAAAGAGAAGGTATATATTATTTCAGATAAAAAAATAAATTCTCAGTTGTAGTTATCTCAAAAAGAACCATGGGGTCACTCCCTGGAACCCAAAAATACAATGACAACACCAACCAAATGAACCATTTGAATTTTGTCCATGGCTTGGAAAAGACATACACTAACAGAGAAGACTAAACTGTCACAAGTGATTGAGTTCATGGAGATATGTGTGCATGTGTATATTCACAGAAAGTCCAGCAGAACTGTAATTTGTTTCCAGAGAAACTGAAAGGTAGGTAGGTGCAGAAGGAAGATTTCATAATGGTCTATGTTTCAGTAAAGCTTAAGTATTTAGATTTAGTGATAGACAAAGGACATTTGAGATTTGTACATTTTTTTTCCTGCAGTAGGGCATCAGTTTTAGTAAACTTGATTTAAATCTGTTTATTATTTCCAAAAGCAATTAAAGCTATCTAAAACCTTGAAGTTTATTTGTCTATGTACCTTCCTGGTACATAAATAACTGTATGATATTTAAGTAGAGCTGTAACGAGTAGTAAATATTATGAAATTCTGAATTTTAACAATTGCCCAGCTAAGAATCTACACCTAAAACATATTTGTGATTCATTGCAGCATACCTCAAAAAATTTATACATTGGCCACTATCTATAGCACTAAAAACAATTGCTATTCCTATACTATAGCAGTAATTGGCAAAATTTTGGAGGATTCGAGGTATGGTAACTGTCAAAACTTTACATGCAGATGTCTGACTAAGAGCACAGAAATAAAGGCTGAGGTCTGAGGCATGAAACACTGTACACAAGCCAAAAAGGTTAGAGAGAAGAAAACACTTGAAGAAAAAGTGTGAGGGGAAATTACTATATTTGAAGAATTTTTACTATTAAAAAAATTGCCACTTGTTCAGTGCTGACATAGAAACACTAAAGTTGTCATCTCTTATTATGAAGAAAGTGCACTGAGCAGTGCCTTAACATATACATGACTGCATAAGGAAGGTGGCCCAGTATTGAACTTAGTTGCATCAGCTTTCCTCAGGGACACTATTGTAACTGAAGTATTTTCACTTCTTTAGGACCTTATCTCTGTATGATATCTGTAACATATCCTTATATAATAAGGATAAATAACTGGATTTGAAACTAGTAGTATTCATATTAAATTATGTTTGTTTAAAAACTTATTGTTAAAATATGCATTTTGTATTCTCATTGTGAGAGAATAGCAACAACAACCCTTCCCATACCTTTTAGACACATCCTACTGGTCATTCTTTAAATTATCTTTTCTTGGACTGACCAATTATAAACTAAGCCCACCAGCTTTATCCCAATCAAGTCAGAGAGAAAAATAAATTAAATTGGCTTTGCCATCCTTCCCGTATGTATGGGAAATGATGCCAAGGTCATCAGCAGGCTTGCGTGAACTCCCTGTGTGTAAGTTGCAGATGATGCTTATGTTACATTTTTGTCTCACAGCCACCAAAATCTTGAAGTAATATGAATTTTGGGCAAACAATGGCATAAATGGCCCACAATTTAGATAGTTAAATATAGGAGCAAGCAATTGATAAATGTAAATGTAGATATAGATGTAGTTGATAAATGTGACTATTATTAGCATGAAAATACCAGAAGGTATAATTTTTAAAGGAGAATATTTCAAAATGAGGCCAAAGAGTTATCTTGTGTTTATTAGTTACCTTTTCCTGACATTGCCTGTTACTGAAGGATGGGCGGGGGGAGAGTCTTGTTCAAAACCTGATTGCAGGAGAATTTGTAAATGGTTTCATGTCCAGTGTCCTCATTCTGCACTTCTTTAACATATACAGATATGTACAATGAGATTATTCTTCCCTAAACTCCAGATCCTGCACCTTCATCCCTTCCTATATCAGACCTGGTGCAGGTTGGCAACTTGAAGAGGGACAGAACTTGGTTCCTTAGTAAATGATTAATTATGAAATCTGCTTGTTCCGGGCTTGCTTGTGTTAACTTGTACACTCACTGCCAGTACTCAGCAGTAACACTGCATATTTTACACAAGGACAGCAGTTACTGGTTCCACATAGGGAATTGGGATAAGGAAAAGGAAAGTTATTCCACTCAAGTTACACAATGACCAAATCTAGCCATGTATCATTATACTGTGATCTTTATTTCTAACCCTGAAAAAATTCCAAACATCAGATCTAAACACCTTCTAGGAATCTGTCTCCAAATAATAGCACAACTGACACTTGGGAACATCTCAGAGGTGTACCCAGCATGGAGTGATGGAGACTCTACTATCACATTTAACACAAGACACCATAACTTTATTCTTGCCCCTGTTAAAAAACCTGTCCCAAAGTAGTGATGTTTTTAAGCAGGAGGTGGATGATTGTTCTGCAGACATGATGCTGATGAAACAGACATGAAAGTAATTGAATGCAGAAGATCCCTTACCCATTCATAGAAATTAAATTTTGCTTTTAAATAGAACAAAATGCATGAGCAGGGAGAGGATGTTTCAGATGCATATTGTTTTCCTCCATTTCACTTCCTAATTTCATTGTGCTTCTTTTCATTTCCTGACTATATTTCATTGTAGTTCATTTGCATTTTTTCCTTTTTAGAGTGAATCAACTTCTTAGCACCTTCCATGGTTGCTGTTTCCGAATATTTTTGATCCCACAGGATCTATCCAAAATAATAAATTAAACATGGTTTGCATTTATTTCAAGCACAAAGGCCAGCTCTCACCAAGTAGTTTATTTCTCTGTCTTCTTACCTTCCAAACAGGGTGTCCACATGTAGATCAATCCTTTAGGAGTAGTCCCTTACAACTCCCAGTATGTGCATTTGAATTGTCTACAAGACTACTAGTTGTCCTATGCCAAAACTGTGCAAAGGGCTGCTGTAAGAGCATAATGGCATAAAAAATCACAGTCCAATGATCAGAGAGTTCCCCCTTGTGCTGACTAATTATCTAGTATGGAATTTTTTTTTCCATTTTACAGAAGAGGAAATAGATAAAATGCATAAGATCTTATTTCTGCTTTCCTGCCCTAAAAGCATGAGTTAAGGGTAAAAATAAAGTAACCATAGTCCTTCCTGTTCAAACTGTCTTCCCAACTCATCTAAGTTTAGGCTCAAATTTTGAGAATGTTAAAGAAACCTCAGCTTAAATCTCAAAATGCAGTTAATCTTCTCCTGCATACCATAATCAGGATTAAGGAATCACCAGGTCTCCTCCATAGTCAGTATCTATTTTCTCAGATATCTTGGATTTTTACAAGTTCATTATTCAAAGAATTTTACAAATTTTCTACTGCTGTAATATCCTTGAACAATAAAGATGTTGACAAATGATGGTACTCAAGTGAAAAAAGGAAGCAGGTTGGTCACTGTTTCACAGACAGGAAAACTGAGGAAAGATGAAGTTAATTAATTAATTAAGTTGATGAAGTAAAGTTAATGAAGTTAATTAATTTTCCTGTATCTTAAAGGCAAAATTGAAGCATAAAACCAGTTTCTTAATTCCTAAAGTAATGATTCAACCAATTTGTCTTCTCATCTGTGTAATCTGGGTTTAAAAGGCATAAAGACAATGTTTTTAGTGACTCACTCACTGATATCACCAGGTACATCACTATCATGTTCACAAGGTGCAACAAGACTTGATTTTGAGAAAAACAAAAAAAAAACAAACAGAGAAAATGGAGGTTAAATCTGCAAAGTGTATTTTAAAATGCAATTCTTCATGCTTGTTCACATAAAATATTACAGGTCTTTTTAATTATATAAGAATTCAAAGCTGTACACAACATTCTTGCAGTCTTCCTTTATATACATGACTATTTAAACCAGTATGAGTGCAAACCATAAAGAAAACCAGATAAATAAATGGAAAACCTGAAATAAGTTCATCTTAGTAATTCTGTTTACTTTCATATTTGACTTTTGTTGACCATTTATGCAAGGTAAAATTCTACTTTGCTAAAATACTTAGCAAGAAAATATTTTGGCCTCTAATATATCTTTCAAAGAATCACAGACAACAAATCACAGACCATCAGAGAAATGAGAAACAACTGTAAAAATTATAATCGTGTATTTCCAAAGCATTCTTACTATCGCAATTTTGAGTGAGGGAGAAATGTCAAATCCTTCTGTTAATTTTAAAAATATTAGTCACATAGTATCTAAGCTGTTTCAAAAAACAGAAAAAAAAGTAATTTATATAAGTTATTTCACAAAACTATGGCCTAAAAGGCCTCTTATAGAAACTAACCTGTCTAATAGAAATTATCAAAATCAGCTAATTTTTCCACGTACATGATACATACATTTTGAATACGTTCATTGTTTTATTTGAAAGGCATTGTCAACATATTCCCAGAAGGACATGAACTAACATTTATACCTGTGCTTTTGTGACAACACATTTATCTCTAATGTGTTTAAAGAAGGTCTCCTGAAGCCCTGTTGCTCAGTGTTGTACCTTAAAACAAACACATAAAAACTAAAGAAAAACCTGAATTACTCCATGTGAGTTGATCTGTCATTTGCAATGAGTACTGCTAGAAGGGAAGTTTTAAGTTAGATTTTTTTCTGCCAAGAACTGTGTGAAATTGACCTGTTCAGGGATTTTCTGATCTCTCTATAGAGGTCCTACTGTCTACTGAATAAAATAAATTCTTAGTACTTTTTTATTTCCTATTATGCAAAGGAACCAATTCAACTGTGAGCAAGCAATCTAGATTTCTTCCAGGTCTTCAGGCATCTAAAGAATCAGTGCCTAATTCCCAGCTGCTGGAACAAACTCTGCTTCCATTTGTAGTGCACAATGCCTTTTCTCCACAGAGACATTTTCCAAGTACAGTTGATGTGATTTGGAAATTAATGAGGATTCAAAGATATGTTATTAGATACGTTCACCATTAAATATATATGTTCATAGGAAGGAACTACAAGTATTGTGTGATCTGGGTAGTGGTTTTTTGTTGTCTTCTAGATTTCAAACTGTGTTTATAGCATGGTCAGCTTATCTGCTACTTGTATAGGTAAAGCGAAGTTCTTCTTGCAACTAGTCCCACATAACTAGGAAATCATTGGGAGTACCCTTTGGTTTTGACAGATGTCTCTTGAAAACACTGCATTTAGTAGTTTCTAAAAATAAGAAAGAAATGAAAAGTTCCTACAGTGTCAACATGAAGAGACTTTGCCCCTTGCCATGCTAGTTATAAAAAAAAGAAATACAAAGATTTATACAAGCTGCAAAGCAAGCACCTAATGCAAATAATTTGAAGGGTCCATTGAGGGTCATGAAGATGATTAGAGAACTGGAGCACATCTCCTATGAAGATGTGCTGAGGGAGTTGGGTTTGTACAGCCTGGAGAAGAGAAGGCTCTGGGGTGACCTAACTGCGGCCTTCCAGTACCTGAAGGGAGCCTACAAGAAAGCCTGAGACGAACAATTCACAAGGGCATGTAGTGATAGGACAAGTGACAGGACAAGTGGTAATGGCTTCAAACTGGAAGAAGGTAGACTTAGATCAGAGATAAGGAAGAAATTCCTTACTGCGAGGGCAGTGAGTCACTGGAACAGTTGCCCAGAGAAGTTGTGGATGCCCCATCCCTGGCTGGGCCAGGCTGGATGGGGCTTTGAGCAACCTGTTCTAGTGGAACGTGTCCCTGCATGTGGCATGAGGGTCAGAACTAGATGATCTTTAAAGTTCCTTCTCACCCAAGCCCTTCTCTCATTCTATGATTTATGCCAGAATGTTCAAGAAAACTCCTTTTGTACTTAAACATGGACCCATGCTGTCATTCCTACACTACTCTGATTCATAGCATAGATTTCTTGAACAGTTATCTGTCTGTCACTCTTCTTAAATGCAAAAGAATAAAAGAATTATCCTTTTGACTTACCAGCTAAGCTATACTGTTTTTCATGTATTTGCTATCTTGCAAGAGATTTCAGCATAAAGTAAAAGAGAATATTGTCTGCTTTGTAATGAATTTGTGTCTCCTTTCTATTAGACATTGCATTTGCAACTAAACTTGTTTATAAAATGCGTTTAGTAACTGATGAAGATATCTGCATTGGAAGGACAATGGAAAGAAACATAATGTATACTGTTGTTCAGCATTTCTTTTTCACAAAAGCCTGGTACAAAATTATATATTTGCTCTTGTTTTCTTCTTAGTACAAATCAGAAAAAAATAGAAGTCAAGGACTTTTGGGAGTCACGGTACTGGGATCAAAAGTTTATGACAGCATATGTGGACTGGTGATGACAACAAACATAATTATTTTCTCCTAAAAATTGTTTATAGGTAACCCACTATTAGCCAGCAAAGTCAACGTTATAATAAATGTCCTGGATGTCAATGAGTTTCCTCCTGAAATTTCAGTTCCATATGAGACATCTGTATGTGAAAATGCCAAGCCAGGACAGGTATTTCAAATTTGTAATGCTTGCTATTTTGCTTTTTCTTTCCTTTTTCTTTATAGCAATAGAAATTTCTAGGTTAGAAAATGACATTGTGATTGGAATTCTTTTACAAATAAAATGTATGTGTCGGAAATACCTATTTGTTGACATTTATGGTCTATTTGCAATCTATTTTTATTTTCCCTAATTATATAGACCCAAGCCACTCCTTAATATGCATATAATAGCTATGAGAGAAGAAATAGTTGTGAGAGGACAGAGAATCTCTTCCTTAAACACACTTAAGTATAAGGGGAAAACTGCAGTGAATAAATGGAGAAAGACGGATTATACACATTTTTGTGTCCTATTCTGAGAATAAGAATCCATAACCCTAGAGGCAATCCTACTGAAAAGTTGTTCTAATAAGCAGTTTCTAGTATATACACAGTATGTAAAACCTATTTCAAGTTCAGCACAGGACCTTATATCATGAGTGATGCCAGAATTATTAAAGCTGGCCCCAGAGGCTCTTGGTATGTGCTCCATCTGCACAAAATTTGTGCAATTAAACACAGTGCTTCAAAGCACCAAGGCTGACCAACTTACATACTAACAGCTAACACTGTTTCCAAGAGAAGACTTGTAACTTTGACTGTTCAGCTTTGAGAATTACTGCCAGCCATGGAAGGAACACATTCAGCCTGACGTATAATCTGACTTCTCTTTATACATACATAGTATGTAATCAACCTATGTGATTTTTATTGTCTTTTTTACAGATATATCACTGACTTGATATGATAACCCTATATAATTTCCTTTTCCATGTGCTTCAACTATGATACAACCTAGTTTAATCCCTAATTTATCAGATACTCTGGGTTTCTTTTTTAGGCACTAATAATAGAAAGGGAAACCTGATACAGGATGTCTGCGACAAGCATTGAGATTCAAAATTATAGATATAGATATTCAGACCCTTGATATATAAAAAAAGTCTTCCCTTGTAAAAGTTCAATAGCAATTCTACTCTGAAATATATTAATTGAACTATGTTTACCTGAAATGCAGTAGATAGGACTCTGGGACACAGGAGTTCCTTTATGCCTAGATGATGGAGAACTTTCAACCGTCTCTACTCCATTTCAAGCTATAAAATTAGAGTTCAGCTTGTGTAGTACTACAACATGTACTGATTGTAACAGTAGTAGCAGATAAAGTGAAGTGTAATCACTTAACTGAAAGCAATCACTAGTATTTTAATACACACAGCAAATATTAAATACCATGAATATAGAGTAAATCTTTCTGATTTCCTTCAGATATCAAAGCAAGACCTTCTGAGACATCATTAGTTCTCTGGTAGCTATAGTACTCAGACTGCCTCCACTGTCCAGTATATTGGGGGAATGAGAGTAATCCAGCATGATTTAACTGTCAATTGTTTCGTTTGGTGTTCACTTGGCACTTCTACAAAACTGCTTCTTTTAGAAGACTGAACTGACTTCAGAATTAATCTGGTTTCAGGTGATACAGATCATCACTGCAGCAGACAAAGATTTGTCACCAGCTGGGCAAAGGTTTTCCTTCAAATTGTCATCTGAGGCTTCCAACAAACCCAATTTCACAGTCCATGACTACAGAAGTAAGTTGGTTACCCCTAATCTCTTTTTCAGAGCACCAGGCTGTGGTTATAATGACAAATATGGTTACTTTGAATTACAGTTGTATCTACAGACCTAACTTTTTTACTTGACATTTCTAACTGCTAAACTATCTGGGACATATATTAATATAAATTCAGGTCTTGCACCTTTTCTCATTTTTAGGGGACAGGAATTGTCAGAACACCAAAGGCTGAGATTTCCCTACAGGCCTTCAAAAACACTGCTACCTGTTTTATTTTCTTCCTTTTATCATTCAGTATCTCAGGAAGAATCCATATGCCAATGCAGGTATACCTTTAAACAAGGCACTATTACTGTCTTGTTTAAATACTATGACTTCACTAACCATTTTCCAAGTACTCAGATATTGTGTTTTCTTGAGAATGCATAGTCCTGCAGAAGAGTTAGTTCTAAATATGGACAGTGGTGCTGGAGTACAACATCTCGCAACACTCTTAATAATTTGTAGATTTATATAATTGACATCCCTGATTTTTCTTCCAATTTCTTTGTAACTGAATATATTTTTTTCTTATTAACTTGTGTGCATTTGATAGATGGCAAAGAACAAACCAAGACAAAAAATAGATCTCATTTTCTAGTCTAAACATCTTCAAGAGTGTAGTCTTGTGAATAGACATAGCTAAAACACAATAAAATGTAGTAAATTTTCTCCGCTAATTACTTCAATCAAATAAGGGGGAGGAAAAGGAGTTTTTGAGCTATTAGATGATATTTAAATAACTTTAAATAACTTTAAATAAGCTTTTAATAAAAAAGGGTCTACATTATTCTGCAAAGAAAGAACACCTAAAGCCATCCAACAGAGTTCAGTAACATTCCTTTGCATGTTCAACTATGAAGTTTATAAGTATTACTATTAAAAAGTATATAATTCTTAATTTTAAAAATTTAATAATTATATAAAATTACTTTTTTCAATTCAAATTTGAGATTATACCAACTATGATGTAAAGTTTTCTTTCTGGAGAATTAAATTATCCAATCCCTAAAAAGTGCTAGAAATTAATAATACAAAAAATGAAAAAAATTGCAGAGGCCATTTTTTTTTTTAGCCTTTTTAAAAAACTTTTAAATATATGGCCCACATTATTTTTGAAGCCATGCACTTCTTTCAATGTCAGGTAATACAAAATTAAAGCCGACAAAATAAGCATAACTTAATCCTCAAGAATCCGAGAAGAAAGAAATTTAAGAAAATAAACTATGCTTATTTTCTCTTTATGTATAGCTCTCCTGTGAAGCTGATATGATGAAAATGGTTTATTCACAAACTTATTAGCGAATTTTTTCTCATTGTATCATAGATAGTTAAGAAAAAATAACAGGTGATTAAAGAATTTCCCTTAAGAATAAACAGAGTATATAATGAAACTGTAATAATTCATAGAATTGCAGCCATGAATAATAGTATCTTATAAAGCCAAAACTATGTAGATCAGCATTTTATTAGAGAACATTCAAACAGTTTGCTTAAGAGAAATAGCTCAGTGAATATGAAAGACAACCTTACAAATGACTCAAGTTCCCTTACTTCTGTTCTTGGAAGATTAGGTCTTTTCTCTGGAAGTTCTTAGTCTAATAACAGGCACCAGTATTTGAAAAAAGTTGTGGCATTTTAAAATCTAAATGCAATTATGTCAAGCAAGATCTAAATGCTTTACCTTTATGTCCCACTGGATTTAAAATTTTGGGTAACATTTAAGTTTCCTTCCTCTTAATGCCACACTGAAGTTTCTGTTAGTTTCTATTCCCTACTTCGCTGTTAGTAGTTTTTCCTTCAAAAACTCAGCATGATGAACTTAGCTAATGATTATAATTAAGAAGAAAAAAGGAATGTTCTCTGTATCTTAACACATTTAGGAAAATATACCTCTTTAAAGCTTCCTCATACTTTACATTTATTACTTTCAACTTTTCACTTTTAAACATATTTCAAGGCCCATATTGGTAGTATCTTCACAATTACAGTTTTAGAACATGAATATTATGTATTTCTAAATAAGTTTGGTATTTTGGTCAAGACTTCTTTAAAGTAACGGCTTTAATTTCTTTCTTTTTTTCCTGTTTCCTAAAATATCCCTTAATTTCAATAAGATTTTTTTTTTTCAGATCATTACAAACTTTTGCTTTAAATAGAAATCTTGCAGGTCTTCTCAGGTCGATATAACATATTTAAAAAGTCAAAAGAATCTTTAAACTTAAAAAGTCTATACAGTAGTTACAGCTCTTGAAAAGTGTGCTTAGCATGTGGGTTTGGTGAGGAAATTGATCAAATATTGTTAGATAATTAAATTTCCCTGTTTAAACCAGTAATGATGACACTGAGTTGACTTTGGATCTCATTAATCTGTTAATGAAGTTTCATTACTGTTTAAAAACAAGCAAAATATTCCTATTAAAAAATGGAATTAAAACCCACCAAGATACAGACTCTTAAAAGCATTTCTTAACACTTACAAGAAAAGAAAAAAGAAGTGCACTGTTTGTTACAATGCAAAGACAAAAAACAAACAAACAAAAAGATTTTGTGGAATATTTTCTAATCATAGAAACCTTTTTTCATTATGATGATTTACAGCGCTATTAGAAGCAATCTGTCCAAACATAAACTCTGTTTTGCAATATCTTCTGCCTTTTTTTTGCCAGAAAAGTGGAGGAAGGTCTGCTCTGTGCACAGTTTAGAGGTATTATAACACAACCTTATTTTCCCTGCAGAAAACCTTTTAAAAACTAATACCTTTATCTTTTAAGTTATCAATTATGTTAATATCATGCCAGTACTTTGTGAAAGGAATCTTTATATTTTTCAAGGAGACAGTTTTGTTCACTGTGCTACAGTTAACACTTTTACAAGTAAAGGTGGCATTTAACATGTTTAAATACATCAAGAAGCCCAAAACACAGAGCTATTCTATACAACTGAAAATCGTGGGTGGTCTGATACTACAGCAGGTGTAATAAGTTTGTGGTGCACCCAAGAGAATAAACCTTTCCGGGTTTATTTATACTTCGAGATAAACCTTAATGAGGACCGAAGCAAGACGGAAGCCATTCAGCAGCACTGAGACCAATCCACTATGTTAATAGAAATGAGGCCCTGGTAGAGCTGGAGTGCTTCCAGCTGGACTGCACATCATCTTCATTCTGCTTTGCTGGCCTCACTCTGCTCTCTAGAGGGCAGCTTCCATGTGGAGTACACACCGTTGCTCATGTAAGAGACAGAATTTCCTTCTCTCCAGCTGTCACACACATCCTAAAAATGAATTTATTACCAACAGACTGAAGAACCAGAAACTATCTCAACTTCTCTAGGTTATTCTGTATTGTTCAAACACGTCTGTGTCCATATTTTCAAAAGAACTTTGAACTATTGAAAGGGGTCATAGAAGAGTAACGGAAATTGTTCAAAATCAAGGACTTAGAGGCTTGATCTGATTGATTCTTCTCAAAGGAGAATGGAAAGTCATTTAGTTGCATTGTAACATGTTAAAGTGCTCTTCAGTGTTGTAATAGGAAGAAAAAAAATAATAGAAATAATTCTAATAATAGAAATAAGGTTAAACTGAATGTATTCAAATTAGGTCTAAAACTTTTTATACAGTGCAGATAATTAATCATAGAGAGAAAGAACAAGCTGAGGATGGAAGTTGGCTTGATTTGAACAATTTTAAGACATTTTTTCTTTTCAAAACTAAGTATAACTGAACTTGACCTGTCCATGTTTGTGATAAAAAGGAGACATCTGAAGCATTTTGTCAGTCAAGCACCTTCCCAATGGTGCCTAATCATAACATATCTGATTTGGGTATTTAGGATTCCTTCTTATTGTCCTTTATCAGAACTTCACACAACTATTTGAGCATGGAATTCAGAGGTCTTAATCCTTTTACCAAGTGACAAAACTACAAGGAATGAAAACCATCACAGACAGCAAGTGTCATGTTCCAAAAATATAATAAGGAATATGGATGAGATGGCAAAATGGTAACTGCTGCAGGCTACCTTCATTCAGTTCTGTCATCTAATTAATTCCCCGCTAATTTAATTTTGGTTTCGCTTTCAGCGTAATTCTTTTAATCCGTACATAATTTCCTTACTGCTCTGTTTGATTCAGGAAAGGTAACTAAAATACCTACTGGGAAGAAATGATAAAACATAACTTCTAGGAGTTGACTAATTGATGGAAACTCTACTGATTTTGAAGTACTCTTCAGTTATTTTTAACAGGGCAGGAAAGCTAAAGTGATTGCATACTGTCCACATACAGTACTTTGAGTTTTTAAGGGAAATTAATTAATTGATAAACACATGATTCTAAATCCATGTGCAACCAAACTCATTGGGCCACAGACTAGAAATGTAAGGAGACAAGGAGAAAAAGAAAACTGGAAAATTCTTCTAATCTTCTACCTGTAAAGTTTTGGGTTTTCTTAAATTATTGTTATCTTCTCTGAAATTTTAGCTGTTAATAGGTTTATAAGAAAAGGAATATTGTTTAATGCTCTGCAAAAAATAACTGTACCAGTCACAATACAATACCTTCTGTAATGATAAAACAAGGCAATTACATAATGTATGTCATTCACCAAGTTTCAAATATGAAATAGCTGCCTATTACTCAATCTGACACAAGCTACATTATGAATTTAAGTACAAAATAAAAATCTGGTGATGACTGTGTCATGTTTTACAGACAACACAGCTGGGATTGAAACCAGGAGAAATGGCTACAGCAGAAGGCAGCAAGAACTATACTTTCTTCCAATAGTAATAGAAGACAGCAGTTACCCTGTCCAGAGCAGCACAAATACATTGACTATCCGAGTTTGCAGATGTGATTCTGACGGTACCATCCAGTCCTGCAACGTGGAAGCAATCTTCTTACCAGTTGGCCTCAGCACAGGAGCGCTGATTGCAATCTTATTGTGTATTGTTATACTTCTAGGTTAGTTCTCATGAAACCCTGTGAAGTTCATTACTCTGATTATTCATTAGTTCCATCTAGTGTTTAACAAAAGCTTTTGAAAATGTGTGGCAGTTTATTTCTAGGAAAATATCCCAAAGCACTGACCATGACCATGAATCTGCCAACCCATGCAATATTTCTTATTGCACGAAGAGAACCAGTTTTCAGTGGAACCCAAACCATAATTTTTTTATCTGAAATAGTTCTAAATATCTTTCAAGAAAAAATAATTTTTTTAGAATACTGCTGAGATAGATAAGTCCTACCAACAGTAATACCAGTAAGAACTTATTAAGAGCCTTTGTTTAATTTTGTGTGTGAACTTGGACAAAAGGAGAATGAAGAAATGGAAGAGGAGAAAATAATTGTAGTGTAGACTATGACTGGCTGTATCCATATAAATCTTCATTGGATGACTTTTATTTCAGGCAGACATGGATATCATAAGGTGGCATTGTTATTTGATCTGCTTTATATTTAAACACTGCCTTATTCACAGTATATTCAAAGCAGTCAATAGCTGTGCGCATCTTACTTATAATATGGCCTGAATCAACCAATAATAAAATAAAACCAACTTCATATCTTACACAGACACAATGTGGGCTGCAAAAAGCAGACTGAGTCTTACAGATGCTAGCCTATGTCTCCTCTTGATACTAGCGGGCTTTCTGGATCCCGTGCTATTCCTTATGTAGGTCTAATGCATATCCAAAAGTAGCTCCTGACACAGAATATACCATATGGATATCTCTTTACATTTGGATTATACAGTAGTTTACCACTTAAGTAAATTAGTAAAGGCTCAGGGTTATATAAATAGCTTCTGAGAAGCAGTAGGTAAAAGTGAGAATTTCTGTTCTGTGTCAAAAAATTATATTGTGAGAAAAATGTTGTTTCAAATCAGAAGAATGGCAAATGGTCCCACTTCCCATGGAGTAGCAATTAAAATACAATAATTCTGGAGAATTTAAAACAAAACCAAATAAATCAGAAAACCAAAATAGGTCAGTTTTTTTGAAGCAAGATGAATGGTGTCTGCTTTATCACAATTCCAATTAGAGCAGGTTTTTTAGTAACCAGGTGTGTTTTGAGTATCTCCAAGGACATATACCCCACAACTTCTCTGGACAACATGTTCCACTGCTTGACATCCTGACAATAAAGAAACTTTTTTTCTTACATTTTAATGGATTTTCCTGCATTTCAGTTTGTGCCCATTGTCTTTTGTCCTGTCACTGGGCACCATTCACAAAAGCCTGGCTCCATCTTTACTTCCATCCATCAGATACTTATACAAATTGATAAGATCCCCCTGAGCTTCGAAATGAACAGACCTGGTCCTCTTAGTCTCTCCTTGTATGGCAAATGTTCCAATTCCTTTAATCACCTTTGTGACTCTGCATTGGATTCTCTCCATGACTGTCCTGTAATGAGGAGACCAGAACTGAACCCAGAACTCCAAGCGTGCATGACCAGAGCTGAGAAGAGGGGAATGATCATCTCACTAGGCCTGCTAACAGTGTTTCTTCTGTTGCAGTCCCAAAAACTGTTGATCTTTGCAACAGGGGCGCACTGATGGCTCATGGTGAACTTGTTATTCACCAGTTCATAAGGCCTTGTCTATCAGGTTGCTTTCTGGTCAGTCAGACAACAGCATTTACAGTATACAGTTACTCCTCTCCATGTGTGGGACTTGGAATTTCTGTTTGTTGAATATTGGAGCTCCTTTTGGCCCATTCCCCCAGCCTGGTAAGATCCCTTTGAATTGTGGTACGACTTCTCTTTTTTATCATCTTGCTGAGGTGACAAAAATCCCATGATCCAGGTCATTTATGAAGATGTCTTAAATGAAGATGTCGTAAAAAAGAAAAGTAGTCCCAGTATCAAACCCTGGGGCATAATAATAATAATGACCAACTTCCATCTGATTTTTGAAATGTTGATCACAACCTTTGCAGTCTGACAGTTTTACCAGCTTTGCCATCCACCTCACTGTCTGCTTGTCTACTCTACACTTTCTCAGATTTTCTAAGGAAGTTGTTCTTAGAGATAACAACGGAAGTTTTACTAAAGGTGGGATAAAATTTATGCACTTTTCTCCCTTCATCCACCAGTTATCTCACTGTAGAAAGCTATCAGGTGAGTTAAGCACAATTTCACCTTCATAAATCTATGCTTGCTAGCCTTGTTCCCCTTCTTAGTTCCCAGAATTATTTTCTCTATCACTTTCCTCAGAATCAATGTGGGGCTGACTGGCCTGTAGTTCCCTAGCTCATTCTTCTTGCCCTTTTTGAAGATAGGCTTGACACTTGCTCCAGTCCTCAGAAACTTCCCCCAGACCTTTCAAAAATTATCTCATGTGGCCTCACAATGACATCAGCCATCTTCCTCATCATTCATGTATGTATCCCATCAGGTCCCATGTACTTATGTGTTCAGTTCATTTACATGTTCCCTAACATGATCCTCTTCTGCCAAGGATTAGTCTTTCTATTTCCAGACTTACCCTCTGATCTCAGGTACCTGGAATTACTGCAGGAAAACTTTATCAATAAAGTCAGAAACAAAGAAGATATTGACTAGGTTGGATTTTTCCATGTCATTTGTCAACAGCTCCCCTCCCCCATTCAGCCATGGGCCCCCCTTTTCCTTTTTTTTTTTTTTTTTTGCTGTCTGACTTGTACAAACCCTTCTTGTCACCCTTCACATCCCTTGTGAGATAGTGCCAGATGGGCTTTGTCTTTCCTAACCGCACTCTTGCATGTTCAGACTGCCACAGTATATTTCTCCTGGCTCGCTCGTCTGTCTTCAGCTCTTAGATGCCTCTTTTTTTTATCACTGAGTTTAGTCAAGAGCTTCTTATTCATCAATGCAAGCCTCCTGCTGCCTTTGCTTGATTTTCTGCTCCTCAGGTTGGGCCAATGTTGAGTTTGGAGGAGGTGATACTTAAAAATCAACCAACTCTCCTGGACCCCTCTTCTCTCCAAAACTGTATAACACATGATTTTTTGAAGTAGATCCCTGAAGAGATCAAAGTGTACCGCATAAAAAGCTAATGTAGGATTATTTTTTTCTGCACTTCAAAAATTCCAAATTTAAAATTATTCAAATTATTTATTATTGAAAGTTCCAAATTATTTTTTCCTCTTTGTAACTGTGTGAGTTTGATTCTTGTGATTGTTTGTTGCTTGTCTGGATTTTTTTCTTCTCTTCAATGTGGAAATTTAGGTGTTTTTTTCTCTATTTTGCTATGGAAGACTTTTTAAAAAAATCCTATCTCTGTCTCTATGAACTAACAAGATGAAGTCCTGTCCAGTTCTATTTGTTTGCAAAGAAGAACAGTAGGAAAATTATTTGTTACTTCCTCCAGCAGTACAGCAAGCACTTAGGAATGTTAGACTCATATATCAAAGGGAAAATGACTTTTCATTGGCTCGAGCACTGCTAAGTGCTGCATTTTTCTAAGGAGAAAAGTCCCTTTGATTGCTTCCAGCTTTCAAAGAAAGATAAAACGATATGTCATGAGAGTACAAAATTATTTCTGTGCATGTCTTAACTTCAGTTGTCTCTCATTACAGTCATTGTGGTACTGTATGTAGCACTACGGAGGCAGAAGAAAAAGGACACCCTGATGACCTCTAAAGAAGACATCAGAGATAATGTTATCCATTATGATGATGAAGGAGGTGGAGAAGAGGACACCCAGGCTTTCGACATAGGTGCCCTGAGAAATCCCAAAGTGATTGAAGATAACAAAATACGCAGGGACATAAAACCAGACACCTTGCGTTTTCCGCGCCACAGACCACCAGCAGAAGATAACACAGACATAAGAGATTTCATTAATCAAAGGCTGAAGGAAAATGATGCAGATCCATCTGCCCCCCCTTATGACTCCTTGGCAACCTATGCTTATGAAGGAAATGGATCTGTTGCAGAGTCTCTCAGCTCTATAGACTCCCTTACTACTGAGGCAGATCAGGATTATGACTATCTGAGTGACTGGGGACCTCGCTTTAAGATCTTGGCAGACATGTTTGGAGAAGAAAGTTATAACCCTGACAAAGTCACTTAAGAACAACTACAACAGTGAAATAAAAAGAAAAGTAAACCAACAACAAATTTAAAAGATAAACCTAAGCTTTATATATGACACAATTACTTTGATTATATAAGACAGCAACTGTTTCCAGCAAGTTACTACATTTATCATACTGTCAGTTTTGGTTTGATCTGCAAAAGAATGATAAATCCTGTAACATACACAGGTTTTTGTTGTTGTCATTTTGTTACTCTGGAATTACACTGAGACAAGCTCAGGCCTTCAAGGTGCAGTTTACTGACCTGACTTAGAACGAAGATAGCTTTCTGGCATCGTGGTGGAAGAGTGGTAGCTTTTTCGTAATTCCACTAAAGTGCCTATTGAAACTTTTATCATTTAAGTGGTAAAAAGTCTGCTGTGATGGTGTTACAAAACTGAATTGGATGCAAACTTTAAGACAAGAAGCAATAGCAACATGCTGACTTCTTTTAGAAAACAAATGGAGATCACTTCCTGGAATATATCTAATGACTTAAACTAAGGGGTGGGGCGGGAGGGTGTGTACATTGTGTTTGGGAGTTATGTTTGTTGAGGTTTTTTAAAGCAAATGGTATGTCAACACATCATATTTCTTCTTCCAAAGTTCCACTGAAAATTTAAATTTAAAATGCTATTGCTCACTCTAAAGATGTAAAGCCCAAATTAAAAAGGCAAAGATCTTAGCATACATCAATGAATATTTAAAATGTTCATGCAAATATTACATTTTTCCAAAATAATAAAAAGATGAAAGCAGCTATTCCTTTATGTGAAGGAAATTTCCCTTTGTTCCCCCTCTTCTTTTAAAACAAGACTATTATTAGAATGTAAAAGTGAAGAGGGTTTTTAAAGTATTATTTTTAGTACCAAGACACCTTTTCTCTTGTATCACTAAAGAAGTACACCTAAAGAACTCCACATCACTTTTCTTTGCAAGTAGACTGTTACTCTGTAGATACCATATGCATACATTATAGACATAGTTATTTTTCCACTGATCGTCTGCTACAGTTCAGCATATCATTGTATCACTACCATACCCACAGGAAACATTTTGGAAAACCTTTCGAGGTTGGACACTTTATTAATTTTATTCTTGACAATATTTAAACAGAGGCAGAATAAAAATACAAAACAGCACATTTGCCCACTCTTTATGTACATATCCATGCATAAATGTAGCTGTGCGGCTGACAGAAGTTCAGATACACACAAGGCATTACGCCTTGGAAGATATCTTGCAGAACTATTTCATGTGACTTTTTCTGATCACCTAGGGCATAGACATTTTGTAAGACAATGGTTTATGTCTCCCAAAGTGCATATATCCTTATATTCTCCTTCTAAAGTCCCTGCAATCTGTTTGAGCTCTACTCATGATTAATGGCACTGCCAAGGTCAACCTGAGTCTTTCATGAACCAGAAGTCTTTTATTCACCTCAGATCTACAGCTTACTTTTTATACTGCTGAAGAATTACTAACTATCAGACATACTTAGCTCACAAGTCTGATATTAACAAACACAAATTTCCCTCTACTCTCTTGGGGAAAAGTAAAGATATTTCAACACTGTATAAATTAATCTCCCAATGAGACTTTGAGAGGTGTATAGTTTAAATAAATTTTGGATCATCCAGTACAATTGGACAGCGCTGCATTAAAATCACATTTGGCATAGCTTCTACCAGCAGAGTGCTGAGGAAGAGATACAGCATATGGCAACAAGGAAGGTTTGTGGTTTTTATCATTATCAGCAAAGGTATCTTGTGTTCCTTGAAAGACAGACTAAACCAACAAAAGCTCTCTCTTCACAGGACAGGGAAGCAGATGAAGTGATGGGGACCATTTCCCAGCTTAAAAGTTTATTGCGGAAAATTGTGGTTTAAATTTTTGTACATCCTGACAGTTTATCAAAGGCAATTTGATATTGCAGGGTGGGCCTAAAACAAAGCACTGGGAAAAAAAAGTTTTCTACTAGTTACAACTGAGATTTGATTCATACAAGATTCACACTACTGGAAGTAATTAACAATGCTTCCTCATGTAGCATATGCATAGCAATGTTTTCCGTCCTTTTGCCATAGCTAAAACAAACATCTGATGCTGCTCATTTACAGATGTGCAGTCCAGTAGCCAAACTCTGCTCTGAGCAACTGTATTAGTCCTTTGTATGTATTTTACTAGTAAAGTCAACATAAGTGAGAGCAGTGTTTAACTTTTTAACATCATGTGGCCTGTTTGCATACGAAATTCTATGTATTTGTAGTCGATACTGGGTGAACATTGGCTCTCTTGAATAGGTTAGCATTTGTTCTAAGCAAGACAGTCTGTATGTGAGCCTGACTTCCAAAATGGGTAGACAGAAAATGTGGTCTTAAACATGCTGCTACACAAAATCTGTATTTGAGAATGAGTTGCTGTATGTTAAATTAATACCATATTGAATATCAAATGCATATTTTTGACATTTAAGAGGTTTGTAACTGAGATGTTTCTATCACATAATTAATAAACATCCAGGAAGATTTTAGAAAAAAATAATATGTAATTATTAATGCAATTTTCCTATAAAATCATAATTAAAATATTTTAAGACATTTTTTGAAGAGCGATCAAATAATTTTAACTTAACAGGGGTCTTTTTTGTAAACAGCTCTATAGAACTAAGGAAAAAAAATGTTTTTCCCTTATCCTTAACCTAGGATCCAGGAAATTTATGTTTAATTCCATGTTTGCTCATTCCTTTTCTAAAATATGATTGTCAGGTTCTTAGCAACTTAATTTTTAAAAGGTAATTAGACAAATACTAAATTTGCAAAATTTAAAATATATCAAGGCATCTGAGATTACCTGAAGTCTATAGGATTAGGGAAACTCCAGTGCACTTGTAAATTGTATCCAATCACTACTTCAGTTTTTAAACACTACATCTTAAAAAAAAATCTCTGCAAACCCTTGCACAGTCAAGATGTTAAAGTGGATGTCTCTCTTTCTGCTGAAGCCTCAACCACTGCCAGAGTGACAAGAAGCTAACAAAATGCTTAAAATGCACAGAACATAATTTACTGGTGCACAAACATTTAACATTTTCTCAAATGTCTCAACAGTGCAAATCACAAGACATTCCATAAAACACTTTCTCCACTTGAAGTCATTGAAACACTTCACTAACACAAACAAATCCACTTTTTAAGTTAAATATTTATGACATACAGTAGTGGTGCTGAAATAAAAATATAAGTGTAAAGTATTCAGCTAAGAATGGAAGTATCTCAGGAAATCTAGCTATTAAACTTACATCACAGTTATACAGAACTGAAGACACATTTATAACAGAACATCTGAATGGAATTTCAGAGAAGGAAAAAGTCTTCCCTGCCCTCCCAAATAAGGTGAAAATACTAATACTTAGGGAAGTTCATACAATTTCTTTGTGGTGTTAGAATATGAACAATTGCTAATATTTGGATTTAAGAATGCTGCTACATGAATCTGAAATTACTGCTATTCTTGGAAAATAGGTATGCAATAACAACAGGGAGCCAAATAGCAAGGATTTGTAAAGCAATGACAGCAGATGATGACTCCTGCACAAAGATATGTTTGAATATTTTATATTTTCATGATTTTTACTGATTTTACAAATTGGCTAAATTTTGCAGTTCAAAATAAAATCACAGTTACTAAGGATTTGCTCTAAGTTTTGGAAGCAGAGTTCATTATGGACTAAAGACCAATAAATGACTCAGCAGATTACTGATAATATTATTCTAGAGACTGCCTTGAAAATACTCTTGCCTTAAAAGTAGGATTTCCATATCCACCTAAACACAATCTATCCTTTACAGTAGTAAAAATGTGGTTCTGCAGATGCCATATTCATTCTAGATTTACCCCATTATTGATATGAAATAGTTCTTAAGACTGTGTTGCTATGGAATAACAAATCTCTGCTAAATGAATACAGGAAGAAAAAATAATAATTCCCTGGGTTAAGGCATTTCATATGACATTAATGACTGGATCTTACTTGCTGAGATTTGGGGTTGTAAATTTTTTTGCAGTTATTACTTTTATTATTATTATTAGCACTGATGCCAGCTCAGTTGGTGCTAAAGAAAGAACTCAGGAGCAGTTAATTGAGGGTGAGATAAGGAAAGGGTTTAATTTGTGCCAAGGCATAGACGTTACAGGACGTGCGCCGGTTGTGCCTGAGATGTTACATTTTATAATGCCATCTGTCCCAAGTGTTTCCGCCCTGTAGCCTTTGCTCTGGTTTGCACCGGGCCCACCCCCTGGGAATTGAGTCTGGGGTGTATTTCGGGACCCCCTCTTCATCATTCTCATCATCCTCAGAGCACAAAGGTTACACGGTCACCCAGTTCTTGACTCTGTTCTGTTGTTCAGGCCAAGATATGAGTGTTCTCCAAACAGCATAGACCTTGCCTTGACAAGAGACTAAACATTTCTACTGAATTCAGGGGTAGGATTGATATAGGGAGTATGGAATGGGGTAGGAGGGTTGAGGAATGTGTAAGCTAAAGGGTGCTAAAGGGTGAGGAATACAATATAGCTACTTCTAAAATCTACTACTATAATTACATATAAAGCTTATAAAAATTAGCAAAGTCAAGAAAACTAAAAGGGTCTTAAGGCATCAGCACAGACATTCAAATCCAGTGTGTATAAAAATATCTTTGAGCTTTACAGAATTCCATGAGAGCAAATAATGAAATGACCCCTAATAATAATTGTACTGAGGTGACATTTAAGTGTGAATGACAATCAAAGTTTATATTACATCCATTCACCACCTTTTCTTGATGGAAAACATAGAATAATCTGAATCCTTTTCTGTTCTTTTTTTAAATCAAAAACCAGATAAGTTGTCAGAATGTGAGCAATTATTACTATTTTGATAAAAACTAAGGTAAGTTCCTGTGGTTTTTTTGTGTGTTGTTTTCATTTTTTTAACCTATTTATTCAATTCATAGACTTCCTTAATTCAACTTTAGTTTGCAACTAAAATCCCCAGATAATTTTTTTTAATCTTACTTTCATTGTTGTGTTGTCAATCAAATTACTTCTCAGGACTCAGGGAAATCTTATAAATGTGTATAAATACCTGATGGATGGAAGCAAAGAGGATGGAGAAAGGTTTTTCTCAGTGGTTCCCGGTGACAGGAAAAGAGTCAATGGACACAAATTCAAATACATAGAATTCCATTAAAATGCAAGAAAAAGTGGTTTTTTTTACTGTCAGGCTGTATATCAGTGGATCATGTTGCCTGGATAAATTGTGGTGTATCCATCCTTGGAGATATTCAAAACCCAGGTGGATTTGTTTCTGAGCAACCTGCTGCAACTGACCATGCTGCAAGCAGGGATGCTGGACTAGATGATCTCTAGAGGTGTCTTCCAACCTCATCTATTCTGTGACTTATTATTAAACTATCCCATATACTTAGGCTCCTTAGCTCTAGTAAGCTCGGTATCTTTAGGGACCTAACTACATAAGCATAGCAGAATCATAGAATGGTTTGTGTTGGAAGGGACCTTAAAGGTCATGTAGTTCCAAACCCCCTGCCATGAGCAGGGACACCTTCCACTAAACCAGGTTGCTTAAAGCCCCATCCGTAGTAACTGCCTTTCTTTAGTGAGACAGCGAAGGTAGGAGTGAAAGAATAGGGTACCAATCTATATAACTACTAACAATGAGGATAGTGTGGACAAGGATAAATTATCTACCTT